GCAAAACATGGAAATTAAGGTTTGTACACAATTACTATGGTGGTGGCCTCATGGTTAGTGCGCTCGACTCTGGATTGAGCAGTCCAGTTTCTAGCCCTGACCGGGGACATTGTTTGTGTTCTTAGGCCAAACACTTTACTCTCACAGTGCCTCTCTCCGCTCAGGTGTATTAATGGTTACCGGCGACCTATAATACTGGGAGTAACCCTGCGATGGACTAGCATCCCATCCAGGGGGGAGTAGAAATATTCCTAGTCGCTTTATGCTACAGAAACTGGAATAAGCTCAGGCCTGATGGGTCACTTGGCTTGTATGCAGACTTTCCTTACCTACCTACACAATTACTATAGAACATACACTCAGGTGTTATTATCTAAGTGAAGCAATGTTACAATATACATACAGCAAATGAAAATGCAGAACGTTTTTGCTCTGGAATTCAGACGCTATCAAGAGCCAACATAAATATTTACTTTAAAAAATTAAGGAGGCTCTTTATGATTAGAAGTCTGAATTATTATAATTATTGTTTTGATAGTATTCTGTGATGGTGTGATCAAGCTAGTTTCTCTTGATCAGCTTCCATTTGAATATTGCTTTTTGATATTTCAGTCAAGAGGGATCATGTGTTCTCAAGGCATCTGCAGTTGAACGTTGATCAATATCTCAATCGGTACTCAATCGACATCCTGGTCGATACTTAGTCGACCTTTAATTGACACTTTATCAAAAATTAGTCGATAGTTGGAGGAATGTCAACCAACTGATATGCATCAATCAAAAATTAGCCGACTGTCCACCGATGGAGTGCCGATCAAGCATATCGATCGAGGGTATCGCTCAACACTCGACCATAGATCCCTTTAGTACACATGATCCGTCAAGAGCAGACATCAAACTATAATAATGCATCTTGTTTCAGACAGTTTCCCAAAGTGGCACAAAATAATGCAAAATATTCAACTGTAATATAATTATAAAATGACCACAACACTTACATGTAACTTCAATCACTTCACAACCAATTATAATTATGTAATTATGTACAAACTCATTCATATCTCATTGAGGTCCAATTCAGTTTGTGGTGGATTTACTCATTAACCTGTTATGTGTAATACAACTGAATAGAGTATTTGTAAAAGTTGACAAATATTATAGTGTATATTATAGTGTATCATTGCTTTGAAAATGACACTTTCATTTTGTGCTTTCTGTAAGGCCACAATTTTTAAATGCAATAGCCTAATCTGTAATAATTACCACTAGAGTTATTAGTGAAAGAAGCCTGTGAATATTTCAGTTGGGTTAAATTTGGATTAATATACTCACTGTGACCAGCCTAATTCATTTCACGTTGTGAGCAATGATTTACACTTTAATCACGTATGAATGAAAATGTTAGGTTGGAGTGAAACAATTTTTTAACAACTTACTTGGTCTGAAATGTTTATCACAAGATCATGCAACCTTTACAGTACCTTCAAATGTTTCATGATGTGACAACACTTAACATGTAAATTTGACAAGTGTGATCTGATTATTGCGTGCCGGCCACCCCAAAACTGCAGGAAATTAATTTTAGTTCTTTCTGAAGTGCCTAGTCTACAATAATGTATTCACTGAAAATGCTTATGTAATACTTTGGGAAACACTGTTTGGATTTTACCGTGACACGTGGAAGAAATATCTGTGGTTTTTCCTGCCAGTGAGGTCATTGTAGGAAGGAATTAGCTCATGAAATGTCCTTCCATTTCAAGGTGTATTCACCTATTTGCCCTTTTCAGCTGCCGATATCATGTTGCATTCCTGTCTACTGGGTCTAAATTTAACCACCAAAAAATGACACCCTTGTCTGAATTCCTCTCATCAAGTTTCATTCACACAAATGAGATCACCCTCTGAATGGAATAAGCAGCACATATGATTTGGCTCTAATCCAAAGAACTATGTGATACACGTAGAAGAGCATAGCCTTTTGTTGAAAGTGAATTTTTCATTGCCTTGGATGTGATAACTCACAGTTATTTGGTAGACAGATTGTAGATTGCTTGCTGTTTGATAGCATCAGAGACATCATCTGTTCAGAATTTCCCATTGCCTGAGTCCACGAAAAGCTTGGATTTTGTTATTAACTAGAAACATGATTAAGCCACTTCTTCGGCGCCATAGCATCTCTACTGCTGCACAGTTTTTCGAACCGGCTCCTTCACCAACCAGAGCGGTTATACATCAGGTGGTAATCTTACGAGTTCAATTTTAATTTTCAGCAAAATGCTCGTTTGTTGTTTGTATATTTGAGAACAAAAACAGTGGCTTGATGAAATTCACTGTTTCTGCCGCAGGAACCCACAACGAAGAAGATATGTGCGGTATCAAACATGACAACCTTAGCTGATTCATCACCAGCTTCAACTAAGAAAGGAGTCTTAGTGCAGGTTTGCTCAAATACTGATGTATTTAATTCAAGGTCTTTAATATTCTACAGTGCCTTTATTTTATTCCCTTGTCAGTGAAAATGTAGATTCATGTCACAACTCTTAATCTAAACCAAACAACTTAAACCTTTTGGGCTCAATTGCCATCAATCAACCCAAAATTCTAGATCTTGTAAACTATCAAGATTCTGTTTAGTGAAAAAAAATTCTGTTTTTCTCAGAGCACTGAGTGTTGTGCTGTTTCAACAAGAAAATACATCTTGCCCAGCAAAAATAGCTTTCTTTGCTCTTGTTAATGTTTGAGTCATCACAATGGTGAAAGGCCATCATCTGGCTTTGGACTTGAACTCTTTGTACTGTAGTAGCAGGGTCTTTGTCTTTCATTAGTTAATTAACAGGTTATCAGACAGTCCTGTTGCTAAATGCTTTAACATGCTGTTTTGATTTTAATACCATCTAACAATCAGCCATTTGCTTTCCAGCGCTCGGTCAGTTTGAGATCAAGCCTAACAGTGAAAGATTCTGATTTTGCCAAGCGTTACCGACTTCTGCCAACCCCTACAAAACACCGGCCCAGCAAGGTATGGATCCTGTCAATCATTGAACATAGATGTCACAACATATCATGCATATGTGTCTCTCAATTACTCAGCTTGGTTGTCACCTCCTTTCATTCAGGAGCCTTTGTTAAATTGTTTGTTAATTAAGAAGACAAAGAAAAACAAAAGCACCAGGCAGGAAATTTTCTTTCTCAGCAGTTAAAACCCCAGCTTAGTACCCAGGTCAATGTGAAAGTGAATTAAATTTTAACCTTTTGATGAATTCCACTGAGATTAAAAATATCTTGATGCTTTTATTAGGAAAGTGTCATGCGATCTTGCATGTGTATAAATTGTTATCTTGACTGTGAAATAAATGCTGGGAAGGTCCTGCTCAGAGATGATATGTCACCAAAATTCATTTTTGTTCATCAGGGAGCAATGTTTTTTTAGGGATCAAATGCAATTACAAATTAGTGCTCCCTTGTTACAAGGTTATCCTCTAAATTAATGCCATTTTAATGAATTTAAGAGGCCAAACATTTGACACCAAAAATTTAATTAACTATGGATCATCCTTAAGAACGACTGTTACTACATGAATGCGGTAGAAACTTCCAGATTTAACTAAAATAAGCTGTTTTCTCTCTGTTCCATAATTGCATTTTCCATTGATTCTAAGTAATCATTTACACTCCTGTTAATAATGATTACTTTGTAGCAATGAATGAATGCACAAATACATACACACTTCAAGTAAAATATATAATAATTACTAGTGCTTGGATTGAAATTTACAATGCATGCATGCTCTCTCACTACAGTTACAGTTTCTTATGAAGCTAAATAAATTTGAACATTTGGCTAATTAGCACATTGCCTAATTTCAAATCTGCCTGATAAACTGGAGCACTTCTTACAGAAAGAGCAGTGAATTAAAAAAAAATAAGTTAATGTGGAAAGCTTGGCAGGAAATTGTGTTGAACAACATAACTTGTTTCGCTTGTGACTTTGAATAGTTCGTAAAGTAGCTCTACATAACATAATTTTATGTGGTTGGAAATAATTGTTTTGTTTGAAAATTGAAGAAAATTAAAAGATACCATAGCTACTGTAGTAAAAAAAACTTATTTTAACAATATTTAATTTAAAATGATTACTTCTGCAAGTTATGTTGTGGTAATTATTTGATAACTTGTGGTAATTTATAAGTATGGAGTTTGTCGTGGTGTACAAGTGAGCATAGATGTAACCATTTTATTTCCTTTTCTTGTGACTTGTTGTTTCAGTCCTTTGTTGCTCACCATATGCAACAACAGACCCACAATTTGAGCTTACTTTTTTGTTTTTTGTTTTTCTTCCTAATAAGTCATGGAGCGACACTGTTTCTAATAATGGTATTAGCCAGACTCTCTCACAGACTGAAATAAAACGACAAGAGGTAAGTGAAATGAACATTTTCTAGTTAAGAGTGATCAGCATTTAATTTCTCTTTACGGCTTCAACATGTTTAAACTATATGATGATGGGAGAATTTTCAAAATGATCAACCTGTGTCTATAAATCAAGTTAAATTCTAAGAAAATACATTAAAAGAAATGAATAGAATCAATTATTTTTAATTGAGTGTAAAAATAAGTACTGCGTACAGATGACATGGCAAAAGCATTTGGTTTTATGGCATGAAGTACAAGGTTACTAGCAAAGGAGGAATTTTACTCCTCCATGGATTTGAGTGGGCTTCTATTTCCAGGTTACAAAGTGACTAAAATGTGCAAAAGCACACTGAAACAAAAACCCAAGCAAATGGCTGAAACAAGCAAACAATAGCAAAATGAATCTGGTTATAACTAAACTGATTCAAGTTAGCCTGCTTACAGCCTACTATTAATGATAATTATTATAAGTATATTATTTTGCTTGTTTCTGTGATGCCATTTGTTTGGACCACATGCCTAGCCTTATTCTTGCTGGGAGGTTGTTGTTGTACTGTAATGTTTCAAGGTCACAGTGTTTCAAATAGCTGTTACATGTACTGCAGTTGAATCTGCGGTCAAATATTCTTTTGTTTTAAAAGGCATGCAAACAAGACGAAAGGGTCAATACAATGCAGAATTGTCCCTTTCGCCTCGTTTCCATGTCAAGCCGCTAATAACTGCAATAACAGCTTTTGCAGAAAGGGAAATTATGAAGTAATAGTAGCACCATTAGGTGCAGGAATATTATGTACTAACATTTTCAAGAACACATTAGCACAGGTCTAGACCAATAGCAAAATAACACATAAAAGTAATTTTGTGCAATATAACGGCCTTGTGCGCCTACTGGCGCCTTGAGAACTGATGATGATGAACAATGTATTGTGATAGCGAGTGTAATGTAGTTGTTACAGAGGATGCAAAACCTTTTTAAACCTGAGCACATTCATAATAGATCATGCTTAGTTATGGTAAAAGTCTTCTTTGAATAAATTGTCTTTTCTGATGGCAGGCCATTTATGAAGTTTGCTCTGGTGAAGAAAATGTTGTTGCTGATCTGAAGATGATAAAGGAGGTAAGATTTGTACATGTCAAGATGCAGTTGTCATTACTCAAGTTGGGACACAAAATGTCCAACTTACCTGGCTGACAGGGCAGGAAAAGAAATTGAAACCCCACTTGCCCAGTGGGCCAGTACATTTCAGTGTTCAGTTGCAGCCACTAGAATAGTACTTGCCCAATAGGCACGCAACATTCATGCCTTATCGACTACATTTACTAGGTACTGTCTGTAATCAGTGATAGACTATAACAAGACTACTGAATTAAATTCACTTGCCCAAGAGCAAAATTTACTTGCCCTGGGCAATTGGACTTGGGTTTTTTTCCTGCCTTTGCATAATCATAACTGCACCTTTACTCGAAATGCAAGTGCGCTGCAAAAAACAAACGAATAAAAATGCGTCACTTTTGTCAGAAGAGGGTCGAAAGTCCTAGTCTAGCTCCCTGTAGCTGTTTAGCCCTTAAGATGCAGCTACATTTTGAGGTAGAGTAGAAAACCTTTTGTGAGGGAACACTGAAGTTGGTGATTGTTACTATTAGGCCAACCTCTCAAGAAGCCATCCCTACCAATAAGTGATACAGTACTTCAGCACCCTTAAGAGAGTAATAATAGGGACCCATAACAACCTCCTCTAGGGGGTCAATTTCTGAATTTAACTGCAAATATCATATCTGGTGATGTGCAACAGAATACATGTACCTGCTGGAGCTCTGGCAGGTGTAGGGGTTTTTATTGAAAGCACTGCTCTTGCTACATGTAAGTGATCATTCTTCGTAAACCACCACGTGTTTTTACTTGTCATAATGCAACAAATTTCATAGGACCACTGTGTTCATGACATTACTAGTGCATGTGGTTGTGTGCTCTTAAAATTTGACATTTTTACGTACTGATCATTTTTTCCCAGTGCATTTATTTTAGTCTTGAGTAATTTATACCTAATTCCTTGTAGTAAAATGTGCACTGTTTTGTTTTTTTCTCTAGGTTTATTATTCACCCATGTACAAACTCAAGCTCATGAATGAATATGAATTTATGAAGATCTTTGGTTGTTTAGAAGTGTTACTTGCCCTTCATCAAGGTATAAACACTTTGTAATAAAATTAATAGAACTTATTCCTTGAAGCTATATAGGTTCCTGTTTTTTGGCTTAACCTCGGGTAAAATCTTGTTGGATGTTAAATATCTCTAAAGTTCTTCAAAAACTTGCCAGAGATCCTAAAAGATCAAAGGGTCTCTGGAAGAACTTATGAGATCCCTGATATGATGAGGCAAAATCTAAGCCAAGATCTTTCCGAGGATCCTTCAAGGTCCTCAAGGATTTTATGTGGATTTTACCACAGTCTTTAAACGAATTCTGTGCAATGATTTTGGGAGGATCATTGCACGGTTTTTGATGGATCGTTGCTGGAAATTTGAAAATGTGTGAGAGATCCTTCAAAAACCTTGAAGATCTTTAGAAGATCCTCAGGCATCCTTGCAAATTAAAGATCTTCAAAGACACTTGAAGGGTTTTCACCAGGATTCGTAGAGTTTTGTGTTTCGTCCAGAAATGTGACATTATCCCAGCCAGGGGCTCCTTTCTCGAAAGCCCTGGGATCTTTTCCGGCCCACAAATCTGTTTTTAGTTAATCTGTTTCCAAAAAATGGAGAAGTGTATGTGCCTGAAACTTCTTGTATGAAGGGAACCTCTGTTCATACTAAGAATATGTGAATAAAACAGCTCTGTAATCACAAGATTTGAGATTTTCCTGCGGCTTTCCGGGTGCAAAAATGTTTCGGAACCTTCAAGAAACAGGTCCCAGGACTCAAACAAGGGAGGGGCAGTGGCCTCATGGTTAGTGTGCTCCATTTCAGATTGAGTGGTCTGGGTTCAAGCCCTGGCCGGGGACATTGTCTTATGTTCTTGGGCAAGACACTTTACTCTCACAGTGCCTCTCTCCGCCCAGGTGTATAAATGGGTACCAGTTAATTAACAGCAACTGGCTCTCTAATAATATTGTATGGACAAAAATAACAGGACAAATCTGGCAGTAAATGGGACCATGGACACTGGGTGCTCCCTGGGATAGCAATGAGAGTGGGTGGTAGCGACACACCCTGGACAGGTAATTGGGTGGTTAGCGGAGACACATTTAATGCTGGGAGGTAACCCTGCGATGGACTAGCATCCCATCCAGGAGGGAGCAGAAATACTCCTAGTTGCTTCATGCTAAAGAAACCGGGATAAGCTCCGGCCTGATGGGCCGGTTTGCTCATATGCAGACTTAACCTTTACCTTATCAGGGTTCAAACATGGACTGCTTGATCGAGTGTCCAGTGTACTAACCATTTAAGGTCACTGTATTAAAAATATTGAACTATCTCTCTTTATCTCAGATCTTCATACAAAACTAAAAAATGCTAGATCTAGTGATGGCACAACAGACAGTATAGGAGATATCATGTTAAACTGGGTACGTAGAGCATTTCATTTTCTTTTGTGTTTAACATGTCCGTGAGAGCCCAAAATTAGTAACCTAGATCACAGGAAAACAAACAGTATTATTGCCAGCACTTGCCAGTGGACAGGTACCCAGAAAGAGGGCATGGCTAATGATGGTAAGAATGGTAATAAATTTAACTTGTCTGTCGGTTTGTCTTACTGTCTGTCGGTCTGTCTGTCTGTCTGTCTGTCTGTCTGTCTGTCTCAGGGGTTTTATTGTCAATTTGCCCGGTGCCCGGCCCTTGATGATACCCCTGGTCTGTCAATCTGTCTGTCTGTCCGAGATCGCAATACGGTTAGAAACTGTGTCGCACCACTGTAGTGAATTTGCCTGTTCAAAATTAAGTGTTATGGCCGGGTGGCATTAATACTGGTGAAATGTCAGTGGTATGAGCGCTGCCAAACCACTCAATTTTGAACCGTCTTTGTCTGTCCACCCGTTTGTCTGTCTGTCCGTCCGTTTGTTAGTCTGTCAAAATTGCTTACTCGCCGACTAAGTTACCAGACTGATTGACTGACTGACAAGCTAAATTGTCTTGTGTAAGTTTCTCAGTAAGTAAGGGGAGATGTTTTCTTTCTTTCTTTCAACTGTAGTTTCCGGGTTTAAGATGTTACGCCAGATATTGTGCGAATCAATTCGAAGCCAAGACGATTCTCGATGAAAAACTTCGTCAAGGAGGCAGTGTAGCGGATTTTTTACAGGTATGTCCTTAATTCAACCTACACGAACGGTTTACCTGTGAGGGTCCTTAGGTTGCATTAGTTCTGCTTTTCAATTTACTTTTTGTTGGAAAGAAGCATTTATTACAGAACAAAACCTCTTGTGATAAATGTAATGAGGAGAAGTGAGGAATATTATAAGAACAGCAAAGGGGTGGGAGAGGCGGGGGGGAGGGCAAGCAAGAAAAGGAGGGTAGGAATTCAGTGCGAATAACTTGTGGTCAATGGGCTTCAAGATTTTGTTGATGAATTTTTGATGATCTTAAACTGCTCAGGGCAGGTCACTAAATGTAGTCTTGGCGACCTTTATATTTATAGAGAATATATAGGAGCTTTAAAGCAGGGCATTTCAAGTGTATGATACATATTGACTTGGAAGTTTGATCAAGTCATGATTGTTATGAAAATATGATGGAGCGCAGTCAAATTAAATGCTCCACTGCCGACGGAAGCGTTAATGTCCCTGTTCCGTGAGAGGTCAGTTTGATTTAATATTACGAAAGAGAGCTTATCACATCAAAGTACTGACCGATGGTTATAAAACCCCTCTTTGTGTCCCAAATGTTCGGCCTCACGTTGCGTGAATATTGATGATCAGAAATGGCCTTTTTCCTCACGCGTGCCTTTTTAGACGTGTTCACACCTCCTTCGCGTGTTAAAGGGTGGGTGTGGGGAATAATTGGTTTCTGTAACCGCAAACCACTCCATTTTCTTTTCAGAGATGCCGTGATTCGCCATTCAGTCGGAAGTTGGATCTCTGGAGCTTTCTAGGTAGGTCCCGCTGTTCACACATCTCTTAAGCGTCTTTTTCATTCAGAAAGAAGGTATTTCCGGTGATAAATTATCTATCGTCTTATAGCTTAGCTCTCACACGTTTGTTTTCGTTGATACCACCATTGTTCTACAAATACTTTCCTTGTGACATTTACCGTGGGGAAGATTGAACAAACTTTCCAATTTCCCCCGTTCAACACAGTTTTGAAACAAACCTAGTTATAAACAAGGAATATTGTCCTGATGTGCCACCAAGTTCTCCGAACTTGTACGAAATGAATTGTGTGACAATAGAGAAGAGAATTTATGTTTTAAACTTAGCAATGAAGCTTGTGCAGTTACGTGTTTCTGCTTGACCTCACATAAAGCCTGCGTTGTTATTGGCGCCAACATTGCGAAAGTTTTTTGTTTATCTTTGTGGTTAACAAAAGAAGTTTTAATATCGAAGACTCACGGAAGAAGAAAATGCCAGAAAAAAAAAAGTAGTGATAGATCATTCTAGCTACTACACTAACTAAAACCAAAGAGTTTTGACAAATTTGAAGTCACTGTAGAAAGAAGAATTCATTCTAAGACTGTCAAGGGAGTTTTATAAAATTGTGAAGTTAAAAGCGGAAAGCGCTTATCTGTACAATTCAACCAGGAATTTCTAAAAATGTGTAAATCTGGAATAATTTAGAACTTCATAGTTTTTTTTGAATACAGCATTAATTCAAAAGTAAAAGCAAAACGAGAGAGACACCCCAGAGAAAACTAATTGTTCTCTTACATTCTCCTCATTTGTTTTGTTTGACGTTTGGAGTTCTGGGTTTCGAGCGCACGTAACTTTTAGACGCTATTTCTATCTTTATGCGATCAAGTGAAAGCCAATTATGATATTTAGAAGTTAATCCCGGCGATAAGAGCATATTACTAACAAGTTGTTTATCTTTGATTTGCAGATTCGCCCAGGAGTCGCCTGGTGAAGTATCCGTTAATGCTTAGAAGCATCCAAAAATACGTGAGTATTGCAATCAGACTCGTGTGGGCGGAATTTCCGGCTGTTTCCCCTGGGGGATGCAGCGGCCCTACGGGAGAGACCTCCCCATATCTGGTTTTCCGATTTAGTGGCAATTGATTCCATTTCTACCCACCCACGTATTTTACCCGTGGGAGGTTGTTTCGTCCGGTGTACCGTGTTCTGTTCCGCCGCCGAACTTTCCCCTATATCCCCTCACATTCACGTACGAGCTAAAAGTTTCCACGCTAAGCACTTGCGATTCACAGATCACTGCAGCATATTTCATTGGTTATAGGTTGATATTATAACAAATTATCAAAAAGTGTCATAAGAGTCTTCGAAGAAACAGACGTTTCGGGTGTGTAACCCTTCTTCAGTGTTCAGAAAACACTGGAGAAGGGTTATACACCGAAACGTCTGTTTCTTCAAAGACTTTTATGACACTTTTTGATAATTTGTTGTAATATCAACCTATAAGCTATTTAACTGGAAGTGTCACGCGTCTTTAACGGTTTATCCCTTCACCACTTATTTCATTGGTTGTTACTTGCGCGTGGGTATCCGTTGCTTAGCAACTG